GCCGCTGCACCCGCCACGCAGCAGCCGTTCTCGGGCCTGCCGCCGGCCGTGCCCGCCATGCCGGGCGTGGCGCCGGGCGCCCCCATGATGCGCCACATGGGGCCGGTGGCGCCCATGCCGCCGTACATGCACCATCCGGGGTGAGTGCGGCGGCGGCCGCGGTGGAGGTGCTCACGCGGATGTGGGCGGGCGACTCTGTCGTGGGCGCGTTGCTGGGGTTGTGGTTCCGGGTTTTATGCCTTGGTTTGAGTGGGGCTGTAAGCCGTGTTTGGTAACGGACTCCAAGTTTGCGATGTGTGAAGATATCGGATGGTGCCATGATAGTGATTATAACAACACCTACGTTTTTGGTCTGCCTTGGTTTTGTCAACGTTTCCATCTCGTGACACGCTTACAGATTTGAGAAAACTGGCTTGTCGCGGGCTATATGCATGCCGCGTGCGGATAGTGCCTCGACCTTGGCAACATATACCAGTGTGTCTACCGTCTGTAAGCTTAACACCCAACACATTCTCCTGCACGGCTCGGTGAGCCGGTGTTCACGTGGCCTGACGGCGCGATGTGTTGCAGCATGATGGGCCCCATGGGACCGATGGGCCCGATGGGTCCCATGGGCCCGATGGCCGGCATGCCGATGGGAGGCCGGCCGATGGGCATGCCGCCCGTGGGCCCCTCGCGGCCCCTCTTCCCGGCCGCCCAGGTGGGTATGGCGGCGGGCCGGCCCCGGACGCCCGCCGGAGGCCCGGCGCCGCCGCTCCCGTGCGCAGACCGGTGGAGCGATGCGGTACTCACGTTTTTCTTTGTCAGTCTGTGCAGTGCGTTTACGTGCTGTGACGGTGTTCTGTTTGGTGGAATGTTGGACTCATACCAGGCATCATCTCACCGTCGAACATGATGAGTTCGTCGTTAGTTGACATGCGTAGGAACATCAGTTCATGATGCTGTTGCTAGTATTGGATGGACATATATGGGAACATCAGTTCATGATGCTATTACTAGTATTGGTTGGAAGTTTTTATGATTCGCTACATTTTGTTCAGCTATAGCTGCGTTTCTGGTGATGTGTGATGCTAATGCATGATTTATAGCATTGCGAATTATTTCATAATCAGTTGACACAAGACTGGGTCCATCGATAGGCGTGTTCGTTATTTTTGCCATGCCCGTTGAGGCCGCGGCAGCAGTGCCCTCCTGCCCGTGGCCGTTTTCCGTACCAATGCTTCTTGTCTCGGCCGACAGGTGTCGGCGCCGGCGCCGGCCTTCAGTACAAGCAACCCACGCTCCACGTTCCCGGCGTACAGGTGAGTGTTGGCGGCTGGCGTGCGGTGCGCGCGCGATAGTGATGGCCAGGCTCCGTGGGTCTAACGCAGGCGGCGACGGCGCGGCGCCGCTGGCCGCCTGCGTGCAGCCTGGCCTGCTGCCTTGAGCCGCGGCACGCTGGCCAGGACCGAGGCTGGCGCACTGTCTGCGCGCTGGCGGAGGGCGTTTGTGGCTTTCTGTATACAGCGTTGATGCATCATGCATCATTACATGTTGATGTAACTGAACAGTTTAATGCCTTGTTTACACTCCCGGCGGTCAGCGGCGGGCCTGACCCGCTAACCGGCGGTGTTTGTTCAGTCTGTTCAGCGTCCCGTTCTTGTTATGAGGGAATTTGCGTCGCCTGTCAGCTCAGCACTCTGGGATGATCGACTCATGAGTGTGCCGCCCTGGCCGGGCATCTTCCCATGTCGCCGTCTCGTAATCAGCCGGCTCGGTCACAAGACCGGAGGACAAGGTCACGACGTCAAACGTCCGTTCTCTTCACCCGCTGCGCACTCCGCTCGCGTTAGCAGTCGTGGGCCGGCAGCCTAGGATCGCGCGCCGCTGTGTCGACAGCGCCGCCTTCCTGCCGAGCGTGGTGGTGTGGCTTCCACACCCGGCCGTTGGTATCCAGCCGCTCGTTCGACGTTCGGTGACGGCTTTGTCTCAGGGCCTGACCCTGTCCTCGACCCAACAGGAGCTCGCCGGGCGCCCACAATCGCGCCGCCCAGCCGGTCGTGGCGTGCCGCTCCCGGACTGTGCGCTGGTGTGGTTTCTCCGCGGTGTACGCAAACCTCCCGGCGTCGGCCCGTCCCAAAGCTGCGATCATCCCCGTCCTCGCCGAGCCTCGCCGCGCCCGTCCGCCTCCGCCGACCGGCGGCCGGCGCGGGACGGCGCGGCGCCCGAGCCCTGCCGCTGACCCCGCCCGCGCGCTCCCGTCCGCAGCCAGTCGGCGGCCACGGTAGCGAAGCCGCCGTCGCTGCCGCCGGGCATGCCGCCGGCGGCAGCAGCGGCGGCGGCGACGACGGCGGCGGCCGGCCCGGCGCCCACGGCCACCGAGATCAGCCGCAAGCCGGCGCTGGTGCAGCAGACCGGCGGCGCCACCAGCAAGATCATCCACCCCGAACAGGACATCTCACTGGTCAGTGGGCGGCGGCGCGCGCCGGACCGGGGCCTCGCACTGGGCAGCAGTAAGCGGGGTACACACCGGGCCAGGGATTATTACTGGGCAGTAGTGCACGTACCGGAGCGGGACGTTTTAGTGGCCACTGGCCTGTCGGTAGAAGCACACCAAAGTATAACATCTCATTGGTCAGTAGTGTACACAGCAGCAACGCACGCGAGCAGGACATCTTACTGGTCACTGGTGAGTAGTGTGCACCGGGCCAAGGCATGTCATTGGTTACTAGTCAGTAAGGTACGTCTGAAAATGTCCAGTAGAACGTCGCTGGTCAGTAGTGTGCACCAGACCTGTACTTCTCACAGGTCAGAAGAGTTTGCACATACTGGGAAAGGCGTCTCATTGAGCAGGTCAAGAACCAAAGCAGGATGTGTCACTGATAATTGGGATTATGTCTTGCTCATAGTTTTGACTGGCCGGGGTTGGATTCAGTACTTTGCTTCTTCACCCGCGTGTGTTTGCCGGAATATTTATGGCAGCGACGTGAAGAAACGGAGGAGGTCGAGTAAGCAAACTGGCGATGAGACGTTTTAACAAGTCGAGATCGCTTACTCTTTCTGTACCATGAAGACCAAGTTGTATGGCGTTTCGTGTTTACGAGATGTGGAAAACGCATGGGCAGTTGTATGCGAGATCGCTTCTGTGAAAAGCGGTCGACGAGGATCGGCACAAAGATAGCTTTTCGCCGAGACATAAGGTGAAAAGGTGAATCGAAGTTGGCTCGATCTCGAGATTTCTCTCGGCGTGAGCGGCTAATTTTGTGACTGTATCGCCGGCCGGGCTGGGCGATGACGTCAGCGCCGTAGCCGGCCGCGCCTGTGATGCCACTTTGGACCCGCCGCCGCCCTGATCCGCCTCCCTTCACGAGTCGCGGTGTCCCGGTGGTGATGGCTGACCGAACGTCGTGGGCTCCCCGCGCGAAGGCGTGTGGACTTGTTCGCTGGAGTGAGATCACGGCGGGTGCGTTCCGCTGCGTTAGGTGTGTGACCGGTCCTACCGTGCGCGCAGTCTGCCGCAGCTTCAGGACCGCGGGCACGGGTGTGGCGTGGTCAGGAGCGCCACTGACCGGAGTGCCGTGCCGTTTCAGGAGGAGCGCCGCTCCCAGCTGCCCCGCTACCGCCAGCCCCAGGCTCGCCCGCCGGCGGCGCCCCACCCGGCCATGATGGCCGCCCAAGGACCGCCGATGCAGGTGGGTTTTCCCGGCAGCCCCCCCCCCCCCCCCCCCCGATGGCCCCCTCCAGCCTCAGCCCCGGCCCCGGCTCCGGCGGCGGCCGGCGCCGTGCTCTGGGCACGGCCACCGGATGACGTGGTTAGTTGATGAGATTGCGCTCGTTCCAGCGCGGAAGGATTATATTGCGCCGGGAGAAAAGATGAGCCCCACTTTTAATTTCCATGAGTGTGGCAGCTAGCTGCCTGATGTCGTTATTTCGAACCGCTAATGACATTGCCCGCAATTTGTTCATAAAGAGCTGATAACCCGCGGGCCGCCGCAGCTCAGAGAAAGTCTGCCCCGAAGGTGGGTTTCTGTGGCGAATCTTGGAAAATCGGATTAGTTTCGACTGTGATATTTGGTGGCGCTGTTTCTGACGACCGCCGGCGGGTTCTGACGATAAGCCACTGAGCCATTTGGTTACGGCGCGCAGTGAGTTATCATTGAAAGGCTGCATGCTCCCGTGGCGCGTGCCGCTCGCGGGACCAGCTGGCACGTGACTGCTGGTGCCGCTCGCGGGACCAGCTGGCGCGTGACTGCTGGTGCCGCTCGCGGGACCAGCTGGCGCGTGACTGCTGGTGGAGTGGGGCTCGGGGCTCGGAATCGGCCGCATCTGCTTCCTTAAAGGAGCGGCGGCTCCTTTGTGGATCGAGAATTGTCGACGTGAGTCTGGAGTGTTCGAGATATTGCCTGCGGCGGTTAGCGAGTCCTCTTCGTATGCAGGTCCCCGTGTGGCGCAGATACCGGGCTGCGTTTTTAACTGCCCGTCAACGAAATGAATTGACTTCTTGTGGAGTCGGAATCTGAGCGGGTGTTGTTCGCCATTCTCTCGCCCTAAGTTGGTTAGAATCAGTAGCATTTGCCGTGCGCTACAGTCGACGTCGTTGCGACAATGTCTGGACGAAGTCCGGTTCCGATAGCTGGGTAGGTTAGAGCACCCGCCTTCCGTGCCGTGCACTCGCCCGTGACGGGGTGGGTTCGAGTCGCCATAGGCGCTCACTATCAGCCCCGGACTGGAATGGCCTGCGGGCGGTGGCAGCGGGCCGCTGCCGGTCCGCTAAGGTCAGAGGGCAGGCTGGACCGTGCCGAGCACCGTTCATCGACACGTTGAACTTCCGCCGCGAGGTCCTCCGCTGGCCGGCGACGACTCGATCGGGCGGGGGGCTCCGGGGCCACACGACGGGCGGTGCTTAGCGTGGGCGCTGATCCCAACAACCGATCCGATCAAACGATCCGGACTACATCCGGCGAGGGACCGGGCACCAGTACCGGGCCGTGGCGTGGCGTGGCGTGGCGCTGCCGTACGGCGTACGGGGCCCACCGGCCTCCCGCGGCCGCGGCCGACCGCGCGCGGCTGTGTGTATGTGTATGTGTGTGAGCCGCGCTCTCGCCGGCTAGTGACCGTGCGTGCTGTCTGTGTGTCCGCCAGATGGGGATGATGCGTCCGGGCGGGCTGCAGCAGCCGCTCATGATGGGCCGGCCACCGATGGCCACAGGTGAGCAGCCCCCACCCGGACCCTGACCCTGACCCTGACCCTGACCCTGATCCTAACCCTGACCCTGATCCATGACCCTGACCCTGATCCCTGACAATACCCCCTTCTCCAAGCCCAGACCGCAGCGCAAGGCTCGGCACCATGTGTCAGTCCTCCCGCCGACCTCGCTCTGACCCCGTCCCGGCGTCGGCTGGGCGACCCCGTGCCGGAGCGGCGTCTGCCGGCGCGGTCAGCGCCTCCGCGCGTCCGCCGCGGGGGATCTGCTGCGTGGGACGGGCGTCGCCCGGCGCGTCCTGAGGTCAGCTGTCAGTCAGCCGTTAAGGAACGGGGGACATGACGGGCGTGTTTATGGGGTCAGTGGGTGCAGCGTAGGTCAGACGGTCACCCGGGTGTATAGCTACTAGGCGCATTCAACAGCTTTCAAAGCCAGTGCGTGAGCAGGGCTTGTAATTCAGCCAGATGAATCCAGGTGCTGCCACTCTGTGTTTTGTTGCCGTTTTGCAGGATAAATTCTGCATAAACGGACAGAAACTGAAGGCCATAAGGTACCCCTTTTAGTGCGTTAAATTATCGTATTATAGTTGCAGCGTATGCTTTTAACTGTTAAAGACTGGTGATCATGGCCTGTCACGTGTGACTGCGTTAGAGTGCGTTATAATTGAGATGTATGAATGTATTATCCGGCAGTTAATACAGATATATAACACCATGGAAATAAACTCAAATGAGGAGCACAATCAAATCTGCTTCAAGAAAGTGAGCACTAACCGATGCTTCAAATAATAAAAATGCAATAAAAAGTCATAACCTAAAATGATACTGCATCCTTTGCATCCATCTGCATCCTTCGTGACATGCGTATCTAGTTAAACAAAAAATTCCAGGGCCACGAGGCACACAGTGGCACGAGGGATACACGGTATATGCTGCTCCAATGCTTCCAGTGCTGGATCCAAGTGAAGACAACGGGACCGCGGGCCCCTAGAGCGCGAACATAACCCTCGTCAGCTCTCCACGGCGGTTTCTCTCATCCGGTTGTAACCGATAAAATCCCGCTGGCAGGCCTGTCTCGGTCGGCTGCTGCCGCCTCTGTGCACCCGCCCTCCGCGCGGAGGCCCGCAGGTCTGTCTCGGCGGGCTTCTGTCGCCCCCGCGCACCCGCCTCCCGCTCGGGGGCGCTGGCAGGCCGTGCTTACGCGGCGGGAGCTCCGAGAGTGGCGGTCGCTGCTGACCGCTGCTCTCTGGGGAATGTGTCGGGTCGCCAGGCTCAGCGTCGCGTCGTAGTCCTCAACGCCACACGCTCGTTCCCGTCGGCTTGTCGGCCCACGTCGGCAGACGCGGCCCTCGATCCGTGCGAGAGCACCGGGGACCAGTCCGTGCGGGCAAGTCCGGCCCCCGGGTCAGGTCGGCGGGTGCAGACGCCAATCCAAGCAGCGGTGCTGACAGCACTGTGTGCAGGCCGACACAGCGGCCGCAGGTGTCGCTCAGCGGCGCGTCGGCTGTGACGGCCCGCCCCGGCCGTGGTGAACCGACACAGCGGCCGCAGGTGTCGGTCAGCGGCGCGTCGGCTGTGACGGCCCGCCCCGGCCGTGGTGAACCACCGTGCCGCTGAGGGACCCGTGTCCACCGTGTCCACTGTGACCCCCGGGCACGCCCCTCCTTGTTGGTCAGCGGCGCGCCGGCTGTGACGGCCCGCCCCGGCCGTGGTGAACCACCGTGCCGCTGAGGGACCCGTGTCCACCGTGTCCACTGTGACCCCCGGGCACGCCCCTCCCCCCCCCCCCCCCCGTCTCCAGCGGCGGGTCACCCTGAGTTTGTGCAGGGCACGGGTTAAAGGAGACGACCTTGGTGTCGGCCGCCATCCAGCCGCCTCCCTCACAGATTTGGGGCGTCGTTCAGCAGTATTCGCGTCATGCCGCGAAGAGAGAAAAAGAGACGCAGGAAACGCGCGGGGAGTGATCGGGTTCGGGGAGGCGCGCGGGGAGCGGCCAGTGCAGTGTAATGTAATGTACTGCTGGTCAAGGGAGTGATGAGTGAGAGGGTTAACTGATAGTGAAGTAGTTAAGCTGCGCATCAGGGAAACGGGGGAGTAGGCAGGGGGGAGGGGGCGTTTGGCTACGCGTCTGGGAAGTACGGGGTTTCGATCCTCTCAGTGCCGCCCTTCCTGCCGGAGGGAGAGGCAGACGACGCCATATAGCCTCAGCATCTGGGCACGTCTTTACGTTCCAATGACCACGAAGGAAGACGCGAGAGTTTTCACTCGCGCCGGCACGGTAGATGTGTTCGAAGGGGTCGGACGCGCAGGCACAGTCGGAATGCCCGCCGCCATGACACCGGACGCTGGAACACTTCTCCCCGCTCGCGCGTGTCATTTGTCTCGGGTCGTTGTTCGGCCGTAGGGTGACGCTCGCGCGAGCGGGGCCTGTCCCCTGTGGCCGGTCGGGGTGCGGTTCCTTGGCGTACGGCGTCGTTGTGTGTCGTCGTGGACGGTGCTGGCCCACTGTCGGGGTGTGCGCGACTGCTATTTTGCACGGTTGTAGTGCGCAGCCGGCGCAGAACAACTCCGAAGCGAATCTCGCCGCCCCGCCTGCGCCCGGCACGCGGAGCCGCCGGTCCCCGTGACTCCGCGTGACCGGCTGAGAGACGACCCCGTGACCGGCTGAGAGACGACCCTGGACGGCGGCTGGACCGCGGCGCTCCGCCCGCGTCCGGCCGGCGCCGCGCGTCGGCCGGGGCGGAGGCACGCCGTCAGCTGATGACGGCTCAGCGGTCGGCCGTGGCGACCGATCAGGCCCGCTCCACTTCGGTTGTTGTCTCCTGAACTCGCGCGAGCCGAGCTGTGTGCGGCGCCGTTTCCTGGCGTGTTTGCTCGCTCGCTGACGGTGCTGCTGACCGGACCGGCGGGCTCTGGTGCCGGCGGATGGGGTGGTCTGTCGTGGAGTCTCCTGCTGACGCGATGACGGGGGTCTCCGCCACTGCTCGTAGTCGGCGTCGCATCAGGCTCACGTCCAGCCTTGTGAAGCAGTCGCGAGTCGCCCACGCTCTCTATACCGCCCCCCCCCCCCCCTCGATCGCGTTTTCCATTGGCGTCTCCCCCTCCATCTGCCCTCAAGTGGGTGCAGTTCGGCATGACTAATGCAGCTTCCGCTCCAGCCTCGTTCGGGCCAGTGGGTCGAACGTGGTCCTGAACGCGTCTCAACTTGTCGGTGTCTGCAGATGTCAGCCGCAGTGGCGGCAGCGCCGCTGTAACCGACTGAAACGGGCAGGTGGTCTGCTGGGTTTCCCCGTATGTGACGACCATCCTTTTAGCCTCTGGTCCAGGGGTTCCGAGTCCCCGTGTCGGCTCGGCGCTGATTTGGAACGGTTTCCGTGCACCGCTGGACACGTATGCTTTGTAAGGCCGCCGCGGGCGAAGCAGGGCGGAGTGGCTGGAGACCCGGAGGTAGGTTGGGACGTGCTCGTCCCATTCAGGATTGCGAGCTAGACCTGTCTATTGGTATTGTTCGCCCCCATCTGTCGGCGCGTCTTGGATTGCTGAACCACCCGTCAGGAAAGGGCGGACGCGTAACTAGTGTTGGGGTTACCCCTTGGCGCCAATTTTACCGCCGCGCGAAAATCCTTCATTAGAATGCTGTCAGTGCCTCGGGGGCTAACAAAATGGCCGCCGGGCTCCCAGGCTCTTCTGTTTTAGACTTCGTGGAAGCCAAATGAAGTTAGCGGCGCATCCGGTAAGCCGTGAGCTCGCAGTGAATTTAGCCACATGGCCAGGTGACGCGGTTGGCCGCCAGAAACGGCTCGGTGTCCAAGCGCTCCTTTCAACGGACAGCTATTGAATTCCAGTGATTTGTGAACCCGTTGTAGATAATGTCGTCCGAAAGTGTAGCCGGCTGGCGATCTCTGCGATCTGGCGGCGCGTCTGCCGCTGCCGAAGCGTGCGGCCAGGTGCCAGCCCGCCGTCAGCCGCGCGGCGGCGGCCGTGCCGAAGCAGCGCAACTAACCGACCACCCCGGCATTTCACAACGTGCCCGACACGTTGTTGGGCGCGATGACAGCCCCCAGCGGTCCCCGGCAGCGGGGGCCGACTCGGCGAAATGCCGGCCCGCTCTTTATTCTAGGTCGGCGGGCGGCGCGCCCCGGCCCTGTCGGCGCGCCGGGCCGGCCGCTGCTCGGGGCCAGGTGGCGGCGCGACGCCGCGCGTGGGGGCAGGTGGTGCCGATGTGCGCGCGCGAGAGCGAGAGGCAGGTCTGTGCCGGCCCGTGTCGGAGCCGCCGTGGCGCGGCGTCGGCGCGGCGGGAGTCGCCCCTCCCGACCGCGCCCCGCCACCGGTCACGTGTCGGCCCACAGTAAGTGTTCACAGGTAGGCCCCGCCGACAGCGCGTGCGTGTGTCCCGCAGCGCCGCCGGTGCCCGGCGCGCGCGCGAAAGATAGAGAGAGGGCTCGCCCGTCTCCCAGGTTGGTGGCCGGCCGGCCGGCCGGCCCGTGACCCGTGTGTGCCCGGGCCTCCGCTGACCGGGCCGCCCCTCTCCCAGGTCAGCCTCCGCGTCCCTACTGAGCCGACGGTAAGTCGGCCGGCCGCCGCCTGCAGAGCCTCGCCTCGCACGAGGTAAGCGGCTGTCTGCCGACCGGCGCCCAGCGAGCGAGCGTGCGAGCGTGCGGAGCCGAGCGGCCGCGACTGGGGCAAGGTCCACCGCTGCCGACGACGACAACGCCGCCGCCGCCGCCGCCGCCGCTGCCGCCGCTGATGCCGCTGCTGACGACGAGGACGACGCCGACTCTGCCGCGTTCGTCGCGCGTTTTCGCCGGACGCGGCCAGGGTGCTGTTGGGCGCGGCGCGGCCGCGGCCCGCTGCGCCGGGTTCGGTGTCAGAAGGTGAGGTGGAGTTGGGGCCGTCGCGCTGCCGCCCTCGCCGTCGGAACGGCCCCTTTTGTTGTCCTCTCAGCGTGACCGCACGCAGGTAGGTGTTCTTGTAGCTCTGGTGTTCGGTAGATCGGTGTTCTGAGAGGTGCAGAATACATGTTCCAGAGCGCCGGGTGTTTCTCTGGTGACGTGACAGTTGTGCGCGGCGCGCAGACAAGCGGTATGGATGTGGTCGTTGGGTAATGCCACAGCGCGTGATGCCAGCGAATAGTCGCTTTTACCCGGTGGTAGGCAAATAGAGCGGTTGTCGGACATCTCAGTGCTCCGGTGGTAGTCGAATAAAACTAGTCGAATGTCCCAGTGTCCCGGTGGTAGTCGAAAAGAGCGGTAGTGGAATATCTCGGTTGTTCGGTGGTAGCCTAATAGAACGGTAGTAGAATAGAAAGGTAGTCGGAATATCCGGGTACTCTGGTGGTAGTCGAACAGAACAGTAGTCGAGGATCTCAGCGCTTCGGTGGCAGTCAAATAGAAAAGTAGTCGAATATCCGGGTACTCTGGTGGTGGGCGAATATCCCGGTACTTCGATAGGAGTCTAATAGATTAGAGGAATGGCGATGTTGACGGACCTGCTGGTCGTCGTCGAATAGGTCCGTGTCAGTTTTCTTCCGTCCGTGACACGTGGAGCGCGGAGAGTGCGAGTCAGCAGCGGCTTCGCAGTCGTGAGAATGCGCGATCGAAAGCAGAAGTGATCGTCTGGCAAGCCATGCGAGCCTCTTTCCTGGCTTGGAAGTTGAGGCCGATGGGTGCGTCAGCAGTGGGCGTCATTCACGTGCGGGAAAAGGCTACTCCACAGAAGCCACTAATGTCATGCGGTGTAACCAATCTGACGTTTCAAAGCGCCTGCAACCGGTCGCCCCCCGGAAGTGGTCTGATCAGAGTCGGGGGGGGGGGGGGGAAGGAGGGGGTCCTCCGGGTCGGCTTTAATCGTGCTGTGGCAGCAGGCTTCGCCATGTGGCCCCGGCCGCCGCCGTCTGGGCGTGGTCCGGGCGGTGAGGCGACGGACGCGTAACTAGTCAGTTTTACCGCGCGGACACGTGGCGGTAGAACTGCAGATGCGGGGTGGAACGGGATCCGGGACCGGTTACGAACACGAGTTTCGGTGGAGGCGCGGCGTTGGCGTGAACGGGCTTATCTCAAGCGGACCAGCTGTGGACCCGTCATCTGCGGATGAATAAAATCTCCACCGACGACACGACACGCACCGGGGGGCCGGCGCGTGTCGCTGGAGCTGCGCCGCTAATGTGGACCGCTGTCGCGCCAGAGAAGCTTGTTTGGACTTCGTCCACAGAAGCGCAGCTGTAGGGGTGACGGGACTGAACTGGGATGGAGCGGCCGAGCGCAAATGCCAGCTTGGGGCTGGTCGCTAGCGCTGGAGCGGTGGAAAGAACTAGCGTTGAATGCAAGGGACGGAGTGTGCGGACATGCGTCACCAGAACTGCTGCTGCGGTGCGACCCGCCGGAGACTTACGGCATTGGGTGTCAACGCGCTTTGGTGG